ATATCATCCCACCCACCTCCGCACTGCACAGACGTGCCCAGAGGCTTGTCTCTTAGTAGGTTCATCAACTACATTAACCATCATCACATCAGCCTTCATAACTGCGTGGGCAAGTTCTCTTAAAGACATCTCTTTATATACACACATCCTTTGGTTCTGTGTCATTGGAATATGCTGTAACTTCTCTCACCAACCTACACACCGGTGGCACTGCCATATCTGATCCAGACAGTGGATTCCACAGGTCAGTCATCAGGCAAAGGATGTGTGTAGTTCATCACTCTAAGGGATGGGTGCATTTCAAAAGAGGACGAGGCAAGCCCAAATTTGCTTTCTATACCTGAAACTGGCTAGAAAGTCTCTGCTTCTGATGATGTAGTATCCTTCCCACAAGCTGGGACAGGGCGGCATAGCCTGTGCAACTGTGGGCCGTGTCTCTGCTCCTTCGTGGCTTCAGGGCATGACCTCCCCTCAGATTCTTGAGCTGCTTTGAATTCCTGGGCCGTGTAGAGCAAAAATAGCCCCTCTTAAGTGATCAGGACCGAGCCAGGGGGGCAAGCGCTTGCTCTCAGGTCGCAGTCAGTGCAGAAGCTGATGGCAAGAGAACTAACTATGCTCACCACAGGACGTGTGCCCTACCCTACGTCCAGCTCCGCACTTGCTAAGCTCTGCCTCCATTCACAGGACCAGCTGAGGGAGGGGAAGGATGGGCCAATGCATGGGTACCTGGAGGATGCCTTATAGTTGCTTGAGAGTCTAAGGTCTGTCACACACCAGGAGCTATAACAGCTGTCCATCTGAAACCTTCGACAATAGGAGAAACTTCAGCACAGACACAGACCAAACAAGGACAAGGCACTGGTTGGAACCTAATATGCACAGCATGAATGCACTTGCTCTGTCCTGACAGCAAGATGAGAATCTCTCATCTGAGTTTGAGGGCCCATGATGGTCTAAACTCAGTCCATCAGATTTACTCGACGGGCTGGCTGATACCTAGATTGCTAGGTTCCACCTTGGAGTTTCTGAGCACATGAGTTCTGAAGTAGATATGAAGCATGGTCCTGTCTAGAAAGTTCCAGGGTGGGGCGGATTCTACTTTCATTAGTTACTATTCATTGTTGTGATAAAATACTATGACCACAGCAACTTATTTGCAGAGTTTGATTTGGTTTGTGGTTCCAGAAGGGTTGGAGTCCATCATGGTGGTAAGGTACAGCGGCAAATGACAGTCATGGCAGCTGGAGCAGAAGGCTGAGAACTCACATTTCCAAAGCCAAGCATGGCTGAGCACAGACACTCAAAGCCTGCCCCCAAGTGATGTGCTTCCTCCATCAAGGCTCTAACTCCCAATGGTTCCACAACCTCCCCAAATAGCACCACCCACTGTGGACTAGGTCTTCAAATATCTTAGCCTTTAGGGGACATTTTTCCTCCAAGCCACCATATTACTGTCTGATGATCACACTGATCGCTACCCAAGGCCGCCAGTTTCCACCGTTTCCAGCTCAGCTGGAGAGTTGTGTATTAGTCATCTTGGTGTTACTGTAACTAAATGCCTGACCTCAAACAACTCTAACAGAGAGAAGTTTTGTCTTGGCTCACGTCTTCAGAGGTGTCAGTTCATCACCATTCAGCTCCATTGTTTTGGGGCATCTGCTGAGGTACCACATCATGGTGGGGGTGGGGTGGGGGTGAGGATGCTGCTCATCTCATGGTGACTGGGAAACGAGGAGGGAAATGGTCAGGGGCTTGAGCTCTAGCTGCCCCTCCAAGTACATACTCTCAATGACCTGCTTCCTGTTGTGGGGTAATCTTTTTGTACCCTGGGAAAATGTGTCTCTTCCCAGGCACCTTCTGATTGGTGTAATAAAGGACTGAATGGCCAATAGCTAGGCAGGAGAGGACAGGCAGGACTTCCTGGGAAAGACAAGAAGAACTCTGGGAAGAATCTAAGGTGTGCAGGATTCGCCAGTGCGGTGTGGAGGGAGTCGGAAATACAGTATGGAGGAGCGGTAATGAGCCACATGGTGGAACATAGATTAATATAAATGGGTTAATTTAAGTTGTAAGAGCTAGTTGGGAACAAGCCTAAGCTAAGGCCAAGCTTTCATAGGTAATTATGAAATTAAGTAGTCTCCATGTCATTACTTGGGAACTGGTGGTCCAAAGTCTGACTACAGCTTCCCATTAGACCCACCCTTAAATGTTCTACTACCCCCCAATAACATCATAGGCTGGAGATCAAGCCTTTAACACACAGACATTTTAACAAGCTCATTAAAGAATACAGATCCTTGGGTTCCTCTACCAATATGTTGGGCCAGTGTATTCTATATGGGAGCGGGGGCTAGCATCTGTGCTCTAAAATAGTCTTCAAGTTGCTTTGGGCTTTGATTTGAGAAACACAAAGTGGTTCTTCTTGTTTTAATCTGTATGTAGATGGTTTTGTGTGTGAACATGTATGCACTAGGGTATGTGCACATGTGAATGCACACATGGAAGCATGGATTAACCCTGGATGTCTTCCTTGATTACTCTTCCCCCTTGTTTTTAAATTGCATTTTATGTGTGTGTGTATGTTGTCTTAGCTAAGGTCACTATTGCTGTCATAAATACGGTGACACAAAGCAGTTTGGAGAGGGAAGGGTTTATTTGGCTCATGCTTCCACACTGTAGTCCATCACTGAAGCAAGTCAGGACAGGAATCTGGAGGGAGGAGCTGATAAGAAGCCATGGAGGGTGCTGCTTACAGGCTTCTGCTCATGGCTTGCTCAGCCTGCTTCCTTATACAACTCAGATTCCCCAGCCTAGGAATGGCATCGCCTGCAATGGTCTGGCCCTCCCCCATCAATCACTAACTAAAAATATACCCTACAGGCCTCCTTACAGCCCCATTTTATGGAAGTATTTTCTTCCTCCTCTCAGATGACTTTAGCTTATGACAAGTTGACAGTAAGCTAGCCAGCACAGTGTTTTGCCTGCATGCATAAATGTGTGGGTACCTGATGTCCTCAGAGGTCAGAAGATGACACTGGGGTCTGGAGGACTGAAATCACAGGTGGTTGTGAACGGCCATCCTCTTCAGGAGCCATCCCTTTAGCTATTTCTATCTTGTTTTTTGAGACAGGGTCTCTCAGTAAATTTGGAGCTCATGGGTTTGGCTAGGCTGAACTGCAGGGATCTTCCTGTCTCCAGCTCACCAGTGCTGGGCTTATAGGTATGGCTGCTGTGCCAACACCTTAAGAGGGTGCTGAGGAAGCATCTGAATCCAGGCCCTCATGCTTACACAGAATCACTTTATTGACTGAGCTCTCTCCAGACCTAGCAATGAAAATATTATGTATCTTGTTATGGGTATTAAAATTGTATAATATTAAATCGGTATAGTACATGCTGATATGTATATTTACTAATTTGTAGGGAGACTTCTCTTTCCCACCTACCAGGTCCCAAATAACTGATATGGAGACTCAATATTAATTATAAATACTCAATCCATAGCTCATGCTTATTGTGAACTAACTCTTACAACTTAAATTAACCAATTTGTATTAATCTGCATTCAGCCACAAGGCATTACCTCTCTTTCATTTTGCACCTCTTGTTTCTGTGTCTGGCTGACTACTCCTCGGACTCTGCCCTTCTTCTTCCCAGGATCCCTAGTCTGGTTCTCCTGCTTAACCTTATCCTGTTCAGCTATTGGCCAGTCAGCCTCTTTTTTAAACTAATCACAACAACATATATTCACACAGTATAAAGGAATATCACACACACACACACACACACACATCTTAGTGTGTCTGTGTTGCCTTCATGTGCTTGACTATGGAATGGCACGTGCGCACAGAAGTACATGTTATGGAGGTCAGAGGACAACCTGTGGACTTGCTTCTGTCTTCTCATCCTTGTGTGCACTCTGGGAATTGAACTCAGGTTGTCAGACATTTACACAGCGAGCACCTTTTTACCCACTGAGCTGTCTTGTTGGCCATGGGTGTTCATTTTTATAGCATCATGGATAATTTAAGAGTATTTTCAAGGCACAGCTTCTCTGTGTTGCCCTGGCTGTCCTGGAATATGCTTCGCGTAGACCAGGCTGGCCTCTGAACTCACAGAGATCTGCCTGCCTCTGTCTCCCGTGTTGGGATTAAATGTATGTGCCGTCATAGCTTACATTTTTTTATATAATAATTACTTGCCTTTCTTCTTTCTTGGAACTGCATATGAGCTCCCAAACAACTCTTGTTAAAGAGTTCAAAGGCTTGTGGAACTTACACAGTGACCTAATGTGGAGACCGACGAAGCTGAGAAAGATGTGCTTGATATCCCGATTTTAATATAAAATTTAAGCTTTAGTGAGAAGTCAGTCTTGTTCTAATGCTAGAAAGTTCTAGAAGAAGTGGCACACTTGTGAAAGTAGTTTAAAGAAAACAAGTCAGGAAACTCCTCACTATGGCAGAGCGGGTCACTTGGCCACCAGTGTCACACTTGAAGTCACACAGCTTCTTCCACCAGAGTGAATAAGATGAAGCTTTTGTTAATATGTAAATAAACCCAGACTGATTCTGAAGACTGTGCAGGATTGCCTCCGCCCCTGTTATACCCCAAGTACTAAGCTGGGCAGATCTTTAATAACTATAATTAAATTGTTGAGCTATAATCAAAGAATGTAATTTCAAAACAAAAATGGTTGCATTCACATTCCCAGCACTGTGGTGAAGGGAAATCGAAGAGAGTGCATCTTGTATTCTGGCCAGGGAAGAGAACTTGGTGATGAATCAAGGGAACCACAGCTTCATGTTTCATGCCCAAACACAGACCCAGAAGCCCTCGGTGGCTTCCTGCTGAGTTGGAACTGGACCTTTCCGAGGAGGGGCGTGGTCTGAAGGAGTTACTTGCATTGAGTCCTTTCTTCTTGCCTAGTCTGAGGTTTGGGTGAGGCAATACCGGGTGAGAACAAATCTCCCAGAGCCCCAAGTCTCCTGACCACTCTGCAGAACACCATAAGCAAAGGCCCGATACTGTGTTAAGCAACAATGAGTTTGTTTGTCCTGGAAGCCTGTCTGCTAGGGGACAGTGACTACATTCCAGGGACTTAGAGAGGAAAGGCTGAAATGCTGAGGACATCAAACTTGCTGCTGCCTGCAGTGGGAGCCACTGTAGATCCTGGAGGACAGAGGTAATCTCGTCATTGACCCAAATGCTGAGGACCAAGGAAGGAGAAGACAGACATCTGTAAGCTGGCTGTGCTGAGCAGTTTCTCCTTCTTTCTCTGCCCAGATCTAGTGTCTGCTCTGCTGTGTGCTAAGGACTCTGAAGATTACACCAAGTGCCATCCTTGCTAAGGAAGACCCCACAGGAAAGCAGACAGTGGGGCAAAAATAAGATGGGATGTTTATTGTTTCCTTGCCATGCTGAGCTGGAATTCTTAAACTGTGGGGAACCTGGAATCTACTAGGTTCGTGTGAAGAGTGCCCAGCCACCACCCCTCCGGGCTGCTGTCGCTAGTCCTTAGGTGCCCCTCATGTAGTTTTCCTGGAAGAAAATACAGGCTGAATTTCAGATAATGAATATCATAGTATAACTATGTTTCAAATGTTATAACTTTAAGAATAACTTACAGGACATACCCTAGAATATTTATTTATATGAAATGCAAATTTTGCTTGGCATCTCATTTGTATTTTTATTTACCAAATCTGGGAACCCTACCACAGTCCTCTTAATTGTACCCCCCAGTCTGTAACAGTCCCTTCATTAAGCCCTCAGCAGAGCCTCTGACGGCCTTTCCTTTTCATGTTGGTTCCAGCTCAGAACCTTCCAATTCCCACTGAGAGTCTTGGTATTACAGCAGCTTGCTCTGTCTCTCTGGGAACAGGCCCTTTGCCAGCTCCCTGGGTCAGTCAGCAAGCACTGTCTCTCCAATACATAACACCTAGAGGTACCAAGGAGTCTCTCTCCTGAATCAAGATAGACCGGTTCTCTCCACAGGGTGGAGCCTATGTTATGTTGCCTCGGAGAACAAGGTGAACCCACTTTGACCTTCCCCATGAGCCCCAATGAGTGGGCAGAAATAGACAGCAAAATATTCATTCTGGAGGCAGCACATGGCTTCACCATGAAGCTGTTTTACACGCTGGGCTCTGGTATGCCCCGGTGAGTGGGTGGCTTTATCTGCTTTGAAGTTAAGCTTCTCAGTCAATAGCTGCGGATCTAACTGTTGCACTCCCAAGTTTTGGGGAGGAATAGAGATAGTCTGTGTAAGACTTTTGGCACACAGAAGGCATCGACCAAATGGTTATAGTGGTCATTGCAATCACATATGTACAGCTGTCTCCTCCAAGCTAAACCCCCTCAAGGCCAGGAAGACAGGAGTCTTTCCCATATATGACATTCTAGAATCTGGCCCACGGGCTGGGCTACGGAGGTGCTCCTAAATGTCATTTGAGTGGATTTAAGTTGAGTTGACCATCTGACCAAGGTCACAGAATGAACAGAGGGAGTTATGTCACTCAGAGTTGAGCTACTGAGGAGACAGTTGATGATGAAGAGACCAACTCTGAGCCTCAGAGGTCCTGCTAGGACCTTGAAGTCTAAGTCACATTTCAGAAGACTAAGCTTGACCATCTTTGTGGGTTTTCTCTGTGCCAGTGACCTAGCTTTTCTGGAACTTTGAATATACACATCACCATTTGTTGTATGACCCGGCGCAGGAGTGGATGAAGGTAGGAACTTCTAGGGCGGTGACCTCCTTCCGATGGCATTTCAGGCCTGTGCCTGGCCTTCCATAGCCTTTTCTCCTTTGAAGCAGTGGAATTGCTTCTCCAGTTATTTTCCCTTGGGGCCATGGCTCTCATCAGCTCAGAGCTGCCTTGGCCAGTAGCCCAGAGACTTTGGAGCTACATTGCAAAGGGACCAGGAGGAAAGGGGCTCATTTAGGAAGCCTCCAGATGTAGCTCAGACATCCTGACTCCCAGGATGTCTGACACCTCTGTTTTGGTGTAGGGTTTGGTGCAGTCTCTATCGGAGGTCACCCAGTCAGACCTCATCTGGGTTTTGCTAAATAAACACAGCAGCACCTGGACACAGAAGTCGGAGCCATGCCCCGCCTCAGATCTCCCGAGCACACTATGTTCCCAGCTATCTGGAGCCAGGCCAGGTCTAAACCAGGGAGGACAAAGAGGATGAGAACTGCCCACCTACTGCCTTGAGGATTTAGGCACAGTTCCCTTTCCCAGATGCTGTCCTGTAGGGAGGAGGAAGGAGGGTACCAAATGTGACATGGAGCCTAGATAACCAGTCAACCACTGAGCAAATTGTGCAGGTAGCCCCAGGTCATTAGCCGTGTTGAGATAGCCTTCTTGGCAGTACGCTACCTTTGAGTCACCTGCGCTTCTGTAAGTGACCCCAATAAATTCACTGGTTCAATCAGCTAGACTTGCTAGGATAGTTTCTTTGATTTGTTTTTGGTGTCCTGTTTGGGGTAAACAGATGTTTGAAAGGTCATGCAATACCAGAGCACCTGTTGCCTGAAGTCTACATTGCTTTTCACTTGACATCATTTATTATAGAAGCAGCTAAGTTCTCACGTGTCACATCCGCCTGTGTGGCCTCTTTCCTCGTGTTTTCTTGGGTTTTGATGATATGTTATAGCATTAGTGGTTCACCTACTAGACCCCATCTTCACACCTCACCACCATCCTTGACAAGCCTGGGGGCCCTTCAGGGACAGAGACTATGTCTCCCCAGTGTGGAATGAAAGAAGTGGCTGGGTGACTAAGTAAATGGTTTCCACTTTCTCGATGGAAAAAGCTAAAACATGGGTAGATGGGACCAGGCCCCTCAACGTTATGCACGTGTATCAAAAACATAAAACATGCTTCAAATCGAATCTGTTACGATCAAGGTGAGGCTAAACATTTGCTCAGTTACTTCCGTCTGCTCTTCTTGAAAACGGGGAGAAGGGTGTTTGAAGGAGAAGAGAAGACAAAGTGTCTAGGGCAGTGGTTCTCCACCTGTGGGTCGTGACTTCTCTGGGGTCAACTGACCCTTTTACAGGGGCCACCTAAAGCCATCAGAAAACACAGATATTTACATTGTTATTCATAACAGAAGTAAAATTACAGTCATGAAGTAGCAATGAAAGTAATTTTATGGTCGGGGGTCACCCCAACATGAGGAACCGTATTAAAAGATCACAGCATTAGGAAGGTTGAGAACCACTGCTATGGAGGGTCTGTGTTTGGAGAACATGCTTTCTTAACAGGCCTCGCCTTTGCAGGGTGATGTAAGTCAGAGACCTTGGAGGAAGCCCAGGTTCTAAGGCTTGCAGCTGGGTAGCCTTCAGCAACTGAATTCAGTACTCTGCCCGCTAGTCTCCTCATTTGCCTGAGGAACTGAATACTATAATGCTTTCTCTATCGTTGGAGAGCACGCGCCCAGGAGAAATCTCATCAGGGAAGTCCAGCTAAGTGCATCTCCCATGTTTTCCACCATGTTTCGAAGCAACACCAAGACCGTCACCAGAGGTTGGCACATGTGCTGCCGTTTGTCAGCATCAGCTATGCTTCTCTGTAGTGTACTAGTCTGTGGTATTCTGTTGCAACATCAGTCCTTCTGTGATTGGTTGACACACACCCATGGGGAGGGACATACGCTGTACCCAGTCCAACAATTCCAGTGCTAATGTCTTCTGGCACAACTTTTAGCTATTTCCAGACAAAATGGTGAACCACCTACCTGGGTCTCCTGAGGTCAAGTTGACATGTCAAATCAATTATGGTAGGACTGGACTGTGCGACTGAGAAGTGTGCTTGTTGTGTAGAAGGCAGACAACAGATCTTCCTCCTTATATTCAAAGTCTGACTCATGGATCCCTGCTCACTGGAGTACAGTAACCATGGAGGACACATCAAGTTGCTTTCTAGGTTCCTGGTTGGTTGTTTCCCCAGAGATCCTGCTCCAGTATGCTGGGAATGTGCCTTTAGGTGTAAGGTTGTGTATTGGAAAGAGTTCCCTGGAGGATCAGAACCAATATAATGTATGGATATGTCTGTAATACAAGGCAACATGTTAGATTGTGCAGGATAATCCCCCAATGCTCATCTGTGTGCTGGAGAGGTAGCAGGCCAATCCAAGAAGCTGGACGTCTCAGTGGTCCAAATCTGCTACTACAGACTTAGAAGTTTCCCCTAAAAGATTCTTGTGTCAAGTCCATGTGGAAAGACCAGAGAAGCTAGAATTTGATTCCCGGAGACAATGGCAGTAGTGATAAAACCTTCATTCAGATAGGGGCTTGTAAATGCAAACATATTGCCTTCCTCTGATTTCATCTAGGATGCTAGCCTGTTGGAAGGTTCTGTCTAGATTCCCAGTGACCTCTCCCAACCCAGTCATTGTCCCACACATCAATCTTTTCTGGAACACTCCTGTAGACACATAGGTATATTTCACCATTCCTAGACTGTCTTTATCAAGTCCAGTTGACAACCAAGACCTGTGATTATAGACTGGGACCTGCAAAGCCTGCATTCCTTCCCTCTCTGAGTATTTGGGTGGTGTGGGAAAAGAAAGAGAAAGCTCGGTTTCGTTAAAAAAAAATAACTATAGAGCTTGACAGTTAATCTTGAACATCAACTTTATCAGGTTAGGAAATGCCGAGGAGATTAATAAAGCACACCTTTGGGGTGTGTCTGTGATTGTGTTTCTAGAGATAGATCATGAGGGTGCCAAGTCATAACAGGATTAATCTCTTGATGTAGCATAACACAGTGGCATTATTGGGAAGTGTCAAAAGCTGGGAGATGGGGCCTAGCTGGATTAAGTGGGTCACTGGAGGCATATGTTTGGGGCTGTATCTCACCCATGCATCTTCTCTGCCTCCTGGCTTCCATGGTGTAAACTATTCTCTTCTGCCATGCCCTCCCCACCATGGTGATACCTGAAACACTGTGAACCCAAATAAAGAATTCCTCCCCTTTAAGTCATTTTCAGGTAATTTTAGTGACAGCAGCATAAAACTAAGGAATGAAGAGAACTAACTTGGGAATCATTAGGCTTTCCTAGTTCTGGTAGCAAGCAATGAAGAAATGGCACGATTTCAGAGGGTCCTTGAGACATTAATTAATAAAAGTTTAACAAGCCAGGTTACTGCTGATGTGATGGTCTTAGGCCCTTCACTGTATAACCTTCTTTGAACAGTTAATCCATAGCAAAATCTGTACTCACAAGACATGCAGAAACATGACAGAAAACCATCTACCAATATTGGAGGGTATGAAATTCACTGCTGCAGATACGCTTCTTAAGTCTTGTAAAGTTTTTATGTTTGGCATACATGGCAGAGGTATGTCAACTGCTCTCATAGGTCTGTTGGTTTTGCTGCATGTATTTTTGAGGTTATTTAATAGGTTTTATGTAGGTCTATTGAGTGTTTTGCCTCCAGCTGTGACCCTCTTAATCTCTGGAAATGTTTTGTCTTTAAAAATGCATTTTGTCTGACATCAAGTTCCTCTTGTTACTATTTGTTTACTTTATATCCTCCCACTCTTTGATTTTTTTCTAGGAGTATTTCAGGTAAACAGAAGATTTGTTGAGTTTAAAAAGAAAAAGACTAATTTAAAAATATATTACTTGAGACAGGCTGTCTTAGTCAC